AATAGAGGAAAATCCAACCAAGCTATATGATTCACAGCAACAGAAGTCAAAAAGGGAAGAAATGGCTATCCATTTTCGAATCCAATACATAGTTAATAGAATTATTAGAGAAAATATATGTGAAAATACTTTTTTTTTCATACGGCATATTACGTTAATAGTGACCAAAATTTAAAAACATGCTACACTGAGGAACAAGTGATTAGTATGCTGGAAATTCTTATTGACAACATACTTGTTGAATTTGGAGGTAGACTTTTTCAACAAATTGTCTGCATTCTTATGGGAACGAACTGTGCGCCTCTACTTGTCGACCTCTTCTTATTTTCATATGAGTCGGAGTTCCTTCAGACACTTGTCAAAAATAAGAAGATCAAAGAAGCCAGATCATTTAATTTCACATTCAGATATATTGATGACGTTCTTTCCATTAACAATCCAAACTTTTCTGATTGGGTTCCTCCAGAACTAGAAATTAAAGAAACAACAGACACGGCTTCCTCTACTTCATCTTTAGACTTATACCTCGAATTTGACATAAGCGGTCATCTCAGTACCAGAATCTACAGAAAACAAGACGATTCTAATTTTGAAATTATAAATTTCCCCCACCTTAGCAGCAATATACCAACTTCACCTGCATATGGGATATACATTTCCCAGCTCATTCGGTATTCAAGAGCTTGAAGCTGCTACTCAGACATTATAAAACTTCACCAGTGTCTGAGCAGAAAGTTGATGAACCAAGGTTATGTCAAAGCACGTCTCGTCCTATTTTTTTTTTTAAATTTCATCGGAAGATACCAAGACATTTTTGATAACTATTGCGTATCAACTTCTCAAATTATACATGATGGTCTTGAAGTATAAAAGAATCGATGTACTGACGTTGTTTGTCATCTTAAATACGTGTGATAGGGTATTTATACATCCCTCCATTGTGTTATTGTACTTTGGTCATTGTTTTTATCTTTTCTTTCATTTTTGCTTATGTGCTTTGTCTATAGAGTGTCTATATGCCATTTTGTTTTCTTTGTTGACATAGTTGTTTGTTTTTATAGTGATTAAGATTAAAACACAATGTTGACTGCTGTACCCCAATTTTTTACATTTTTACCTATTAAGTATGTTTGTTTTGCTCACACATTGTTGTCAATATAATGGAACTCTATGCGACTGTCATACAAGTGAAAGGTTTAGCTAACTTTAAAACCAGGTTTAATCCACCATTTTCTACATGAGGAAATGCCTGTACCAAGTCAGGAATATGACAGTTGTTTTCCATTCGTTTGATGTTTGAGCTTTAGATTTTCCATTTGACAATCAACTTTCCGTTTTGAATTTTCCTTGGATTTCAGTATTTTTGTTATTTTACTTTTTTATGTGTTACAATTTTGATGTTTTATTTGGGGGGAATTTCAAACCTCGTATGCTAACTTTTGTTTAATCATACGATAACTGTAGATATTTTGGCATACAGTGATGAGGGAGTCCGTCCGTCTGTTTGTTCTTCCGTCCTTTCGTTCGTCTTTCTGCCCACTTTTGTGACCGCAACTGCTCCTGAAGTGCTTTACAGAATTTTGTGAAACTTCCAAATATTTTTTTTTATTTTGTATTTTTGCACCTATTTCTTTTCGGGAATTTACTTTTTGAATACATGGATTTCGTCGTATCTGCACTCAACAGTACACATTTGTATTTATCCGCTTTCCACCTTAACCCCTAATCATGAATTAATGTAATTTTCTCATCATCTCAACCTTATAAATGCTATTGCGCACCTCTTCTTTAGTTTTCTGATACAACATCATTTTAGGGGTTTTTCTAGCAAGCCTGAACTTTCAAGGGACGTTGCCTTATTTTGGGGGTTTGCACCCATTTCATAATCTCAACCTTTTCTAAACCCCCTTATTATAAATTATTGCAACTTTAAAAAAATCTTGACCACATAATGTTATTGTGCACCTCCTATTTTTTTGTATCAAAATAATGTTTGGGGTTCCTCTTCCCAAAGCATTGTGGGTTCCTCTTAGCATTGCTTTATTCGGGGTACCCAATTGTATCCGAAATTCCTCCAAACCTCTTAATTATATTTTATATAAAAATTTCTATAATCTTAATCATGTAATGCAATTGTTAACTTGCTATTTTATTATTGATCAGAATCATTTTTGGGGGTTTCTTTACAAAAGCATGGACTTTTCCATTGCTTTTTGTATCCGCAACTCTTCCTTAACTCTTAAAACACTTTATTGAAACTTTCTCAAAAATGTTATTCTGAAAACCAATCTTAAACGGATAACCATTACAATGCATTTCTAAACAAAACAAAAAGTCCTTTCTTAACATCTAATCAATTTGACCCATATATGTTGTAAGTAAAAATATAGTTGCTAATGGTAGTATTTGGATATTCAATTTTCGTAAATAATTTAAGATATCAGAACCAAACTAATTAAGATGAAAGACAAAACTGAAGGAATGGGATGAACCTTTAGATCTCTTTACCGCGAAAACATGTTTCGTCTGTGCTATGATCGATATGTGATCTTACTATTCTCCATAGATGTGTGATAATGACCAATTGTTTTCAAATTTACCCGTCAGCTTAATGTTTAAATGTTAAAGATGAAATCGAATCGATCACAGAGTAAAATTATTTGCATGGAAAGAAGTTTTATCGAAAGAATGTTGTGATACACAACTATAATTATATATAGAAGTTTAGTTATCATATACTTAGAGTAAATAACTTATAATTTTTACAGTATGATAATAGCATTAAATTTACGTCATTTCCATATTTTCCGAAATTGTGCTTAGCGGGCTGATATGAAAAACTTATCAACTGCTTCCGGCTATTGTTGCATGCCTTTCCGTAACGTTATCGCATGGCATTCCGTCTTTACTCGAGAAATTCCGGAAAATACACCTCAATGGTACGTTTTCAGTTAAAACATAACAAAGTAGGGTACAAAACAAATATTAGGAAACAGGAAAATATATTATGTAAAATGCAAAAAAATGATGCGATAAATTTTTCAAAGTTTCCAGCATAATTTAGCAAGTTACTTTACAAATGCCTTTAATGTTGACTTTTCCAAACAGTGTTCATTATGTTTTGTTGAATTTTTTTTATCGTCAATATAAAAATATACTATACTGTTGTTTTTCTCCTCTGTTGATGCATATGATAGAAAGATTTCATATTTGATGTATTACATTTGGCGTCCGTCGTCGGTAAACTTTTCACTCTTTGAACTTCTACTTGAGAACCACTTAAAAGGATCAATATATCAAACTGTTATTTTTCTCCATTGTTGAAGCATATGATAAAAAGATCATAACATGTCATTTTTCATATCAGATGTATTATCAGCCCTCGGTCAATATCAGCCATCGAGCCATCTGGTATGAAAAATGCCATGTAATAATCTGATAATATTGCGTGAAACAATTGTTTTTTATGGATGTAGGATATTTTAATTTATATATTCTAATATTCAAGCTCATTAGAAAATTAAAAGGGCGAACAACAACGAGAAGCATTTTAGTTTCAATTTAGTTTTCCGAGCATTCTACGAACAACATTTGATATTCACTAATCCAGGACATGTACCTCTGACAGCGGTGATCAATTAGCGGATGATCATAGTGACTGTACACTCAAATGAGTATAATTATAACATAGCATCATTTCCCCTTCCTGTTATCAAATGGAAAAACAAACCCATCCTTTCCATGGAATATGTAGGTACGCTGCATATGAGTATTATATAATATACATAATCAAAATTTGGTTTGTAAAATGCAACCTTCAATATCTTTATCTGTTTATTTTTTTTTTTATTAGCAAAAATACGTGTGTGACATATTTATTACATTTTTGTAATTTATATAAATTTAAATTTCATTTGTCCAATCCAATATTTGCGTATTTTGTAGAAAGTAACACACCTGTTTTCTTGTCCTCTCCCGTAGTATACAATTTGCCCCCCCCTTTTTTTCTAGGGTACAAACATACGTCTGTGAACATCAATAAACGTATAATAACTGTGGACAAAAGGTGTGAGGTAATCAGATATGGATAAAATACGTCTAATCACAATACATGGTGTGTGTACAATTATTTATTTTTCCGGTCTTAGTTAAAATATTGGTTTCGATTACATTTTTACATTTAAAGAGGAAAAAAACTTCCCTTTCGGTATTTTCTATACACTTTATTAATGGACGGTATTACTGGTGAAAGGTATGTTTATTTTTTTCAGTAAATTTTAAATTCGCTTTTGTTTATTGTTATGTTGTAGTTTGGTATGAATTCATAACGCCTTTTAAACGTTTTGAGGAATGTAAAAATGTGCATATTTACGTTTCTCTTAACATCACAGACAATGTATTCATTATATATCGTGTTTATTCCACTATTTATCCGTTTCATCTCATTATAATTCAAGTTTATGCATTCTATTTTGCCTAATTAACTATGTATTACAGAACTGTTTACTTCCTTGTACGTACTTAACTACACATGTATAAAAATAAGGAGATTTGGTATGGTTGCCAATGAGACAACTATCAACCAAAGTTCAAATAAAGTGGATTTAAGCAATTATTGGCAACCGTACGGCCTTCAACAATAAAAAAGGCCCCAACATAAAAAATAAGAAATAATTCAATTGAGAAAACTAACAGCCTAATTTATAACAAAACATTGTTTACGAAAAACAAATATGACAGACATGAACAAACGACAACCACTGAACTATGGGCTCCTGATTTGGGACAGGCACATACAGAATGTAACGGGGTTAATCATGTTCGTGAGTGCGCATCCCTTCCCCTAACCTAGGACAGTGGTGTAACAAGCACAACATAAGGACAAACTGTAAAAAAAAATCAGTTGTAAAGGCTTAACTCATCAGATCGATACAAATTACGTATGTATTACATATAAAAAACATTTATGCATTTTTCACATTTCTCGTCTTTTATGTTTTAGAATAGAATTTGAAGATAAGAAGATGTTTACAACGATGTAAAAACAGCTAATATGTTACTTAAGTTGCTTATTCTCACAACTGCTGTGTTGACAGTTACAGCACAACGTAAGTCACCACAGATTCGTCTTTTTATATCAATTGTTATATATTTTTACTAAAATTAAAGTACCATAATCTAATATCTTAAGAAATCAAAAACGAAAAACGAATACACTTTTGTTTATCATTTTGGTTTTTGAGAAATCAAAAACGAAAAATGAAAACACTTTCGTTTTTCGTTTTTTGTTGTTGATATCTCAAAACGAAAAACGAATGGACGCAAATATACACGGACCAATAACTAACAGAAAAAGTGTGGGTTCACTTATGCATATCATTGACCCCATTCCTAAATAAACTTTAATCTGTTGATAGAATAGTCGTCAAATTTGCTTTGTAAGATAAATATTTCACTTTCAGAAATGGTATGTCGATAAGGTTAAGCCAAATATGTATAAAAGCCGATCTGTTATGAAGAATATTAAGATTGAGTGTATTCGACATCACGTTTCATATTTCACGTGTATATGCGTAACAACTTGTCCACAGTTTTTGACATGTCAATGTACATGCCACTGGTGGATCAGGAACCGCTAAACCTTCGATGACAATAGTGTATCCCTTGGTTTTTTTTTGTAAAACTTTTATAGCTCTAACTTCAGTTTTCTACGAATTGATTTTTTTTTCATATTTTCACAATTATGTTGTCTGTCAGTTTTATAACAATGTTTGCCGGTGTCTCCACTCACTAACGACCTTTTTTTGAGGTCTTAGATCTTTAGATGCAACTGTGATACAATTGGAGGTTTAGCAAACTATAAAGCCAGGTTTAAACCACAATTTTTATTTGAAAGTGCCTGTACCAAGTTAGGAATGTATAGTTGTTTTCCAGCCGTCCCGTTGGTTGATACATTCTTTCGTTTGATTTTGTCAGTTTTTATGGACTTCCCCTTTTTGAATTTACCCTAGCGTTTGCTATTTGTGTTAACACCTTTTATGATACTAGTATGAAAATAACAAAAATACCGAACTCCAAGGTAAGTCCATAAATGCTCGACTACCTGTGTATCACTCAACTGAACGACTGGAAAACAATTGTCATATTCCTAAATTGGTCCATGCATTGTTCGAAAAAAAAATGGTGGTTTAAACCAGGTATATATAGTCGTCTGATTTGTAATTTTACCGATTGTATCCTATTCCCAAATTGTGATATTTTGACGTTTACCCTGTCATCGCAACCGGTCTCGCTAATTTTTAAAATAACGTAAAACATCCAAACCCATCCCAATATAGGGTATATAAATAAACAAAGTTTGATATGTTTCATTTGAGAATTAATATGTAACTTAAATAGGCGACCATGTACATTGAATTATTTTTTATGCGAATGACAATTCAATCCAATGTAACTATTTCTATGCACAAGGACGGTTTTTAAGTTTGTTTGCAATTGCACTACCAAGCCATCTAGCAAAATGTATTAAATACAATACGAATTGTCATAATGGTAAGTGTGAGGAGATCTGGAACATACCTGTCCCCTAAATTGACATAATCATAAACAACACAGCTATTTCGGTTTTAAAAAGAACATGCCTACAAGAAAGATTGTATTTTTGTTGACAGTTTTAATTTTACCTATGTTGTTCTTATTTTACAGTAAATCTAACACCATTTGGCACAGCTTCTCAAAGCTCTATTTTTACAAGTGGTAAAGGTGAACCGGAAAATGCTGTAAACCCGCCTATATCAAATTATTTTGATAATGATTTGACAAAATGTACACACACATACTCCTATCTTCATAGTAAAAATAAAACTGCATGGTGGATGTTTGAATTTTCTTTTGACACTGCGTACATCACTGATATAACCTTATATTACAGAGAAAAATGTAAGTATATACAATCATTTTCATCAGAAAATATTTAATGGTATGTTTATCCCTAATGTTTTCGTACCTTCTTGCGATTTTTTCTTTCTTAATGAACGTTTTTAAGTAAGCTTTTAAGCCAGGATGCAATGCATATATAACATCAGCTGGCCTGAACGTTTGTGAAAATATCCAAAAACACAAACATTGACCGATGTGAAGTATGAAACTTTTCGTTGTAATGAGAGTGGAATGCTTCATGTCCGTTATTTGTTCGTCTAGAATTTGAAGGAATTTCAGCCCACACTGGAGGAGGCAACAACGCATTATCCTACATATATAAAAACATATACAGGTAAATATGTAGATAGATAACTTTCCAGAAGTGCATTGCAAGAACTAATTAAAATTATAAACTAAAATGCAAACACAAGCAAAATTGAGTAACAATTAATTCAGTAGAACAATAATATTGTAGCACAAATCAACTGGTAAACACTAATTGTATTATCAACGTACACAACACTGGAATACAGCAGTTCATATGACCGAAGTTTTGTCTCCGTTTTAAACTACCACCCCTCTTTTTTCCTCTTTCAAAATTGTTGTATAGTTTGAAATTTGTAGAGAAAGAGTCTCAATAAATCTGTTCAAAATACATGACAAACTCACATGGCTATCGGTTCGTATAGACATATTTTACATGTCTGTTGATCTTTCAGGTTTTGACTTTCCCTTTCTAAGCAGTTTATCGACACTCAAGTTAAAATAATTCATGGGGGGCTAAAATTTATTGTGATTTTACCACGGGTTGGCCTTTTATGTTAAATATTTTAGCTCGAGTGATAGTTGTTAACCTTATAAACGGAGGATTAGAAAAAGCTTATCCTAAATACCATTGTTTGTGTTCTACATATCTACTATTCCTACATGTAGTCTATGGAGATGCAGACACAAATCTTAATTTGTAAATTATCATTAAGCGACAGTAACTGTTGACAAAACTTCCTAAACGTATTCACAATTAAATATAATAATACATGAACTCGAAGCTGAGAAAATAAAGCCTCTGTTTTGAACCAATAATCATTGATTTACATTATATTTTTGGCATTTAGTTTCATACAATTTTCTGAACACCAGTTTTCAATTATATAAACATCATTTTGAAGGTTATAGTATTTAACTCATGTACAAAATTGCCTTTATTAGGCAAAGTAAAATCATCTGCATATAAATCTATACATGAATTTTCTATGTTCAGTATTAAATCATTGATGTATAAAATGAATAGCAGCTATGGGGCAAAGGACAGAGCCTTGTGGTACACCAGTTTTTTAAAACAATTGCTTTCATGCTATGGCGTATAGCCATTTTTGAGGCCCCGATCAAGACAACTTTTTTTAGCAGATAGTCATTCTAAAAATCCTATGTATGTTTTCTAATGAAATACATTAATTGAAGCAGTTTAAAATCATTAGTGGATTTGTGAAGTTTCAACATTTAAGATGTATTTTTGTATTTAAAGGGACAACCGTTTGACTATCAAATAACATAGAAGTCCTAGTGAAAAAGTGCATTTTTATACCTGCGATTTCTTTCCTGAGATTTCTTTCTAGAGATGTTTCTACAAAATATTGTATCATGTCAGTTGTTGATTTAATATTGAAAATCTGACTGAATTATCTCTTGTACGGTTTTATGTTGTTTAAATCGCGTTTCTTTGAAAGAGGTCAATTAAGTTGCTTTTGTTCATTCATACAATTATCGTTCATTCATAAAATTATCGTAAAATCACTACGCACATTATAGTAATGTAATCTTCTATATCTCGCATTATTTGTTTTAAATTAAAAAAAGTAGCACAGTTTACGCGTTCTGATTACACTTATCATGTTTGAATACTTACTTGAAATTACGGGCCCTGTTATTTATTAAGGGTTTCCTTAATTGATGTTGATATGGATAGACCTCACTGTGAAAACAAATGATATACTGCCAGTGTCAAATGTCATATACTGACCCTCTAGGCTACCTGTAATTTTCTATATTTACGTATCTAAAAATAGACAAAACAAAACGGATTTTGAATGTTGTCTGCGCAAATAATTTTGCGGAACGAGACCTCAGGCTGTGTTAAAAACACATTGCAATAAGTTCGTTTTCCTTTTTTGTCATAATTCCGTAAGATTTATTATCTTATACTAGTAGATGAAATGGACCCGTCCAAACGTGAAAGACGCCAACTTACGAGTGAGAGTTATTCACGAACAATTTTGGAATTTTCTTGTTTCATGATTGAAAAAAAAGTTCGTCCATTTGGATATCAAAAACGGGAATGCATGATGACAAATGATGTAACTGATATCCTCGTCTTTCCAGTGAACGAGTCTATTTCGTTTTTGACACGGATGGTCAAGTCTCGTACGACGTGTTTGCAATTTTATTTCACATGTTTTTGTGCTTGAAAATCTTTATTCACCATGTTTCCTGAAAGTTGATAAAAAGCAACGCGGAGCTGGTGTTTCTTGTTCGTGAGATGACGATTTAATTTCATGTTTGTCCGTTACACCCCCCATTTTCGAAATTATATGACGATGGCACATAATGACATAATGTATGTTTAAAACAGCTGAGCAATAATGTTTGGGACTACGATTTTAGAAATGACTAAATAGCATACCAAAAATGTTGTTAGTAAGCTGAAATATTTATTTTTTTTTTTTACAGTAAATGTCTTGTAAGATATTTTTTTTAATTTTTTTTCCCGACCGACCGACCGAACATTTTCATGTGAAAAATCCGTAAACCAACAAATTTAAAAAAAAAAACCTAGCATTAGTGGTGAAAGGATTAAAGCGTAAGCCAGTTCCCTGGTTTATCGTCAGTTAACGAGCATTTTGTGAAAATTTCAGAAGCCCTTCCCATCTTCAAATCTTTAATCGGTATGTATGAACGAATGATTCTTATTAGACGTATTAGGAAAGTCAATAATACTATATACGATTTTGACGCTGATGTTAACAATTTAACCACTAAAGGCTATATTGGTGACCATCTCAGAAAGCAAAAATAATCATTCATTATAGTTACCTGTATGGGTTTGTTAGATAATGCTGAGATTATTTTTAAGCAATAAAATAGTAACACTTTATTCTGCAATACACGTACGAGGATCCATCAAAACAACACGATCATTATTCTCAAAATTGCATTGTTTCATAGTACCGATCGATTAAGTTTAAGATCGTTGTTCTCCCATTTCCTACTATATTGTTGAACAACAACAAGGAAAATCTACAAAAGTGATCAAAATAAATTAATAAATAAAACAAAAAAACACAGGAATCAAATCACATTCGCATCCGATTTTTTTTACACCAACCTTTGATTAAAACGTTCGCTTATTTTTAATTTATTTAAAACATACTTATTATGTCGGGGCCTTTCTTAGCTTTTATGCGGGATGGGTTTTGCTCCATATTTAGGGTCATACGTTGACCTATAGTTGCAAACATTTACGTCATTTGGTCTCTGGTAGATAGTTGTCTATTTGGCAATCATACCACATCTCTTTTTTTATATCAGTTTCTAAAATAGAGAAATGTGTTACACAGAGCGTAAAATTATACAAATAAACCAAACTAGAAATCGTACTTGAGAATTAAAACAAAAAGAATGAAACAAAAGCGTCTTCAATTCGATTATCTTTATATTTTTATTTTATCTAGAAAGGTCACTGGCAATTTAATGTAATGTTGAAAAGCGACAATACCTAAACAAACGTTAAAATGTGTGAATTAATTATTGTAAACCAACTTATTTTTTCGCGGATACTTTATTTCGCGTTTAGCCCTTACTAGCACATTTCGCGGCGATTTAATTTCGCGATTTTCAAAATTTGCTTGATGTAGTTAAATGAGGAAAGATCCAAGTTTTACATATTCGCGATTTATATTAGCGTTATTTATTTAAAGACGCGAAAATAAATCGCTCGCGAAAATTAGTTGGTTTACAGTATTCTTATTCACATTTTCCCTGACATTTTCTTTCTATCAACTTTTATTTTTAGTTTTTCGGAAAAGAGAGGTTATCGAATTAAATTTTAAAAGATTACAACGTTTGGACATTATCAAGCAAGTTAAATTTACGTTTCGGTGAAGGGTCGGAAGTTGGTTTTTTATTCTTGTTATCACGGCTTCCTCCACCAACAAAACAGAACACCACGAATAAATTGATATATTGTTGAAAGTGGCGTTAAACTTTCATATGGAGAAGTTAATTTTATTAACTTCCGGTCAGGAGGATATTTTGAAAATGAAATATTCGTGTTCACCTCTTGCAAAACAAAGTCTGCTAAATTATATTTCGGGCATTTTATTTTTTCGATTTCCTTCATTTTGTTTTGCCTAATATTCACTATACCACGGCTGTCATTCAGTTTATCGGGAAAAATGATCGTGAAAGAATACATAACGGTGGTCAAGCATTGCGATTGGATCGTGAAAGATCTGGTATCGGATCGTGAATGCAATTAATTGTAATTCTACTTCAAAATCTGTGAAAAATCTGCTGTATTTTCAATACGCGGAACAATTCCAAAAAAATAAATTATGTCTGTCAAAATGATTTAACTTTCTCAATAATACTGTGCAATGAGATAATGAAAATATGTAGTACTGTATGAGAAATTTAAAAGGCGCAACACAAGTCTATGGGATTCATTAAAATAACACACGTTTTGTACAGACCTATAATGAGCACATTCCAATATATAATGATATATTTGAAACTGAATCTTTTGTGTTGCAGATAGATCAGTAAAATAAAAGTTTTTTTTTCCTCTTGAAACCGTTCATTTTGTTTTTGAAAACATTGAATTTTGTTGATTTTTCATCAAAATTGATCGTGAAAGATCGGACAACGCATTATTTTGATCGTGGAAGACAAGCGTGACCAGACGAACGCAGGACGTTTGCGCTTTTTTACCTGTAACTGTAAAGGACATTGCGCTTTAAATT